GAAAGGGGGATGAGTATAGACTGCTGGAACTGAGAAGGGGATGAGTATAGACTGCTGGAACTGAAAGGGGGATGGGTATAGACTGCTGGAACTGAAAGGGGGATGGGTATAGACTGCTGGAACTGAGAAGGGGATGAGTATAGACTGCTGGAACTGAGAAGGGGATGAGTATAGGCTGCTGGAACTGAGAAGGGGATGAGTATAGACTGCTGGAACTGAGAAGGGGATGGGTATAGACTGCTGGAACTGAGAAGGGGATGAGTATAGACTGCTGGAACTGAGAAGGGGATGAGTATAGACTGCTGGAACTGAGAAGGGGATGAGTATAGGCTGCTGGAACTGAGAAGGGGATGAGAATAGACTGCTGGAACTGAGAAGGAGATGGGTATAGACTGCTGGAACTGAGAAGGGGGATGAGTATAGACTGCTGGAACTGAGAAGGGGATGAGTATAGACTGCTGGAACTGAGAAGGGGATGAGTATAGGCTGCTGGAACTGAGAAGGGGGATGAGTATAGGCTGCTGGAACTGAGAAGGGGGATGAGTATAGGCTGCTGGAACTGAGAAGGGGATGAGTATAGGCTGCTGGAACTGAGAAGGGGATGAGTATAGACTGCTGGAACTGAGAAGGGGATGGGTATAGACTGCTGGAACTGAAAGGGGGATGGGTATAGACTGCTGGAACTGAAAGGGGGATGAGTATAGACTGCTGGAACTGAGAAGGGGATGAGTATAGGCTGCTGGAACTGAGAAGGGGGATGAGTATAGGCTGCTGGAACTGAGAAGGGGGATGAGTATAGGCTGCTGGAACTGAGAAGGGGATGAGTATAGACTGCTGGAACTGAGAAGGGGATGGGTATAGACTGCTGGAACTGAAAGGGGGATGGGTATAGACTGCTGGAACTGAAAGGGGGATGAGTATAGACTGCTGGAACTGAAAGGGGGATGGGTATAGACTGCTGGAACTGAGAAGGGGATGAGTATAGGCTGCTGGAACTGAAAGGGGGATGAGTATAGGCTGCTGGAACTGAAAGGGGGATGGGTATAGACTGCTGGAACTGAGAAGGGGATGGGTATAGACTGCTGGAACTGAAAGGGGGATGAGTATAGACTGCTGGAACTGAGAAGGGGATGGGTATAGACTGCTGGAACTGAAAGGGGGATGGGTATAGACTGCTGGAACTGAAAGGGGGATGGGTATAGACTGCTGGAACTGAGAAGGGGATGAGTATAGGCTGCTGGAACTGAAAGGGGGATGGGTATAGGCTGCACGAACTGAAAGGGGGATGGGTATAGACTGCTGGAACTGAAAGGGGGATGGGTATAGACTGCTGGAACTGAGAAGGGGATGAGTATAGGCTGCTGGAACTGAAAGGGGGATGGGTATAGACTGCTGGAACTGAGAAGGGGATGAGTATAGACTGCTGGAACTGAAAGGGGGATGGGTATAGACTGCTGGAACTGAGAAGGGGATGAGTATAGGCTGCTGGAACTGAAAGGGGGATGGGTATAGACTGCTGGAACTGAGAAGGGGATGAGTATAGGCTGCTGGAACTGAAAGGGGGATGGGTATGGACTGCTAGAGCTAAAGTGATGAATATAGGCTGCTAGAGTTGAAAAAGTGGATGAAAGTAGAATGGGGGTGAATGTTTTATTGAATACATGCTCTGGGGTCTGTAAGAGCTTGACAACAGCAAACCCGAGGACAGTGTTAGAGATAAACATCCCACCCTCTGTCAACCTGACTTGGGCAAAAAGGTGGAGTCTACATCAACATCAGCCTGCAACATTGTGCATGTGGTCTTGTCATGATTGTGGTGTTGGGAATCACTTGTTAAAATGATCATCAATCATCCCTTTGAAGCAAACAACTGATGCTCAACTAAAGATTGATTACTAAGATTAGTTACCAGAAATCTTGGTGTTGCATCACCTCCGACATGCAGAATGATATAGAAATTGTGATGAACAGGTTTGACAAATATCCTGTCACCTAAAGCCACGATCAATCTTCAGGAAGCCAGCTTGTTATTCAATCATGAATGTCTTCAAACTAAAAACTGATTAAATCAATGAATCCTAACACCATTTCTGAATTCTGTAATGTTGTACGTGTATAATGTGTGTTCCATGTCACAGTGTCAAGAAATCAACATCAGGATCTCATCTCTAGGATTTATCTACATCTACTCAGAGGCCTGAAAATCTGTAGCAAATGACAGCAAAAACTCCAAATTCCTTATTATTTACGAAAATAAGAACATTAACATGATTAAAAAATCCAATTTTGAACAATATCACGAATTTGTTCTCCAATTTGCCTGCCAGGGGCACTTTGTTTGGAATCCTAGATAATCTCTGCATGATCTCAGTCTGTGACTTCAGCCACTGGCACAAAGCCTGTCTAGTACAGCTTCTTCTGGTCTAGTAACATCTGCTGGTACTGGTCCATAAACTAATACCAAAATCAATTCATACCAAAAATACAAGTTTGACCAAGTAGACTGACATGCTGCACAGATTATGATCATGGCATTAACACTAATAACAGTAACATTCCATAGCTGTCTGTAGAAGCTGCAGCCAAGGCATCATGGCAATGACTACATGTATATGTGGGGCCGACAATACTAATCATGCTAATGTAATAATCCCAGGTGTCCCTCCTCTCACCATGCTCACAGTACAGAAGAATCAAGCCGTCCACACCTAAATAGCGAAATCTTACCAGACTGAGTTATTCTTGTTTCTTTATATAACATTGTAATATTTTCTATGGAGATTGCAAATAGATCGTGAATCCCTGTATTATTTCCACTCGGCAAACATTGATGTCGGTCTCCATGTTTCATGTGGAGGCAACCATGTTCTTTACGGCTGACAAATCAGTTATCTTTTTTAGAACCACGCCTGACATATTTAATCAATAACATTACGCATTTTGTGTCACAACATATTCTCACAAATTAAACACAGGTGACATTTCATCTTCTTATATATCTTTTCAATGTTCAAACAAAAAAAATCACTATGCAGACATGAAAACTGTGACATGGAAATCACAGCCACAAGATTGCAAGCTACAGTTGCTGGTCACATTAATCTGTGATGCAGATGGTTTGCATAATCAAGCAGACAAACCGTTCCACCCGACCAGAAAAATGATCTCAGTACTTTTTTTTAAAAAAAGGTACAAGGTCAAATTTAACAGATCTTTTGCTATATATGTCAAACATACTCATCAAAACATTATGTAATGATAAGAACATTTTTAACTTGATCATTATGAATTTGCCATGATAAACAACAGCCATGGGGCATGCCTTCTGTTCATAACAGGAGTGAGTGAGTGAGTTAGGTTTTACGCCGCTTTTAGCAATATTCCAGCAATATCACGGCGGGGGACACCAGAAATGGGCTTCACACATTGTACCCATGTCGGGATTCGAACCCGGGTCTTGGGCATGACGAGCTAACACTTTAACCACTAGGCTACCCGACCGACCCTCTGTTCATAACGAAAATCCATGAATGTAAAAGCAGGTATACTGTCAGGGTTCACTCTAGGAATATTCTGACATGGGCCCTTTGTGTGAAAATTCATAATATTTAAGAGGTACACCCACACTTGCCCCTTCAGCACAATGTTAAAATGCCCCATTGTATTTGAAAATGTGGGCCTTTTTCAAATTTAGGGGCTAAAATCACAAGGCCCCAGCCTAGAGTTATCCCTGCTGTCAGTTACCTCACAATAACGATCACAGTATCAAACTGTATATATTATCAATATGATTATGGAACCTGCAACATTGGTTAACATGGTTAATGCATATCATTTTGCCTAGAACTGTAGAAGGTTTGGTGCTACCTCAGATCTTTTTGTAAATGTTTTAAATATATTTTTCCATTTTACGCTAATATTCATCACATGTCTCAGCACTTTGTCATGTTGCTCATGATAGCTTGAATTATTACGAAATCATAATTCTGCAACTAATGCATTCCTCGTGCTAGTCAGCCCTCTAAGAAGCCATCATTTTGGTGGCCAATTGTGACTTTAATCTACTGCTCCCAAATTGGCTATCTAAAAGTAAACATAACTGGCAAATGTGGTAATACATATTGCAGGAATGGTTTTAAGTGAAGTTGGTTCTGTATGCTACTTTTAGAAGTAATAGTGTCTTCATGCGTGCACATGGTCATTGTGATCACAGTGCACTCAAAATTATTATTTGTTTATTCTAGAATTTATGGAACGGTGGTAACTTGACGATAATCTGATAAATACACCATAAGAGGATTAAGATCAGACAGAGGAATTATTAAGAAGCAGAAAGATCTCATTCACTGACTCACTCATGCCACTGACACTGTGACAGATGATACCAGCAGTTATAGGCCAACTCTAGGCCAAGGGGGAAGGTCAAGTTGCTTTTTAAGTATTCATACATATCAAAATACAATATAACCCCGCACAGATGATCAAATCGTTTAAAACACTCAGAATTATGAATATTTTCAGAGACAGAATTGAAACTACCAAAACATGCAAATGCACATGCGTTGACAGATAGCCTACCGGTAGATGATATTTACGAATTTCATGGAATCTTCTTGAACATTACAGTTGCTTGTATTTGGACGACACTATTAATGATATGTGCCCCATGAAACATCGAAAGGCAAAACAAATTAAACATGCCAAACAACCATAACTGCAAATCGATGTGTGCTCGTTATAACGTCCATACTAATCACAGCGTTATATCGAGGTGAAATTACGATGCAAATGATCTGATGAAACTTCAGAACAATTGAACAAATCAAATAATCAGTTATCTGATTTGTCAGACAAAACGAGTCTTCTTGGCTCACGGCAAATGCATTTGATGGCTTACATAGAACATGAGCCTAATGTCACTACAAGGACGACAGTAGAACATCTCAAAACGATGAGAGCCCATCGGATGACAAATGTCGACAGAATCACGTGTTACTCACCGCGTGAAAACAGTGTACAGCAATCCCAAAATTGAAGCTGCAAGAAGAGAGATGGTATGTGGTTTGTAGAAAAAATCCAGAGATATGTCATCGACTGATCTTTCGTTAATTATCACCCGAAAATACTCGTCGTCCTCCGCGATCATGCTGTCTTTCTTTGCAGACGCCATTTTCGGATTAATCTCAGGGGAGAGTTGTACAGGGGAAGTAACTCTTGGTTTCCACCCCAAGCGCGAGCAATAAATCCTGGCTAAATTAACATTTCCTCTCATTCGTACTACCATAGGGAAATCGATAAATACTTCGTGTCGATCGTTAGGGATTCACATAATACCCGCTCCGCCAATAGCGCTCTTGAAAATGATAGTTTAGGCATTATGTTGATGAGTATTGACCCTCTGCCGGAGTGTCATCTCTATTCAATATTCCTAATAAACCAATTGCGATCTTTTAAAGTGCATGAGACGACACATTGTTAACAGGAGTGTGCAGTCATTCGACCAGTAGAGTTCTATATTTCTCCTCCATGAACAATTAAAACTTCCCCATGCTGTTGCTTTTATTGGGTTTTAGGTCCATGTCCGTTAATCTCATTTGCTGAACAGATGGTGTCAGTGTCGCCTGCGAATATACAGAGGTTGCCATTAAAAGCCATGCATTGATTAATATAATTTCACATCCAGTGTTTGAGTTAATTCATTGGTTCTTAGTTTCATAGACACGATTAAGCACTTGTCCTTATTTCCATACTGCTGCACGAGTGAATAGTGCGTATTATATGTCATTCAAGACGACATATGGAAATGAATTTGTGTAAGGATTGGATTCGAACCATCAACGTTGAACGGACGATGCTAGTGAAGGGACAGAACCCGGCACCCTGCGCTCTCAGCAATAGTGACTATATAACTCTTCTCGTCCAGGCATATTGGATTGACAGGTGCCCCGAGCACTTTCTCTACATGTTTCAAGAGATGATTAAGTCCGCATGTTATTCAGAAATATATGTACGACAAAAGACAAAATGGTGTTAGATTGCTTGCGCGGGGTTTAGATCATACTGTCCACTCACTCCCCGACTCCATAATTGCTGATTTTAATATCCCCAATTAATGACAACAAACAGGCTGATCTCAACTTGATTTGCGCAGTGCGTAAACCCATTACGCGCTACTTCAAGTCCAGGGCATGTCTGGGCGAAGCAAGACGACATCCGCTGAGACAGCACTGGACAATATGTCAACATCGACAATAAGTGTAAATAGACAAAACTCAGACGTTGCTCATTTTCTTTCATTTTTCTTGGTTGCTGTATTAAAGACGACCTTGGTAAACAAATGTCATGGCTGCACAACTTTGTTTCTTTGTTTGTTGTTAAACGCCGCACTCCTGATATTCCAGGTATGACGGCGGTCATAATCGAATCTGGACCAGACAATCCAGTGATTGACATTACGAGCATCTATGCAATTGGGATACGATGACCTGTATCAACCAAGTCAGTGAGCCTGACCATCCGATCCCGTCAGTCGCCCAGTATACATACGACAAGCATGGGTTGCCGAAGACCAATTCTAACCCGGATCTTCTGCACGAGGACGGACATACCATTCCGCCGCATCGGTACACATCTATATCCGTGTCTACCTTATGCGGACCGTTTCCTTCCTCTGCTTGTTCAAACAGGAATTGACGACAGTCAGGTCTTGTATTCGCCATTTTGGTTAAGCCTTTATCAATCACTAGTCCGGAAAACTCCCTTCCGGAAGATTGTGTCAGAAATTCGAATAAATATCCCCACACCCATGATTCATTATACCGGACATTATCTAAACCGGACGATGGCTTCACACATTGTACCATGTGGGGAATCGAGGGAGGGAGGGAGTCAGTTCTTACATCAATCATAGGATACTTTAAAAAATCACCACTCGTGAGGCAAATATCAAAGATGAAGAATTACTTCTTCACTCGTCCCCACCAATTGCCATTATTATAGTTCAAAGTGTAAAGATCCATTGTTTAAATAGCGACGAGTACCTCTTGAATCGATTTGTCTGATGGGGTCTTGATTGAGAACCCATTTGTGATAAATCCAGTTTATAAGTGTCCTGACAAACTTGACTCGAACACATTTGAATGAAAGACGACCATACCTTCCAATACCAGCAAGCTACTGCTAAAACAGTGTCGATGACAATTAGATTTTACGGGTGCTTCGATCGTCTCATCATTCAGATTGTAATTATGTAGTGCCAGGTTAGAGATGAACTTGAATGTATACGGCCTAATATTTTATTATATTTTAACACACATACATGTCTTAGTCTTAGTTACGCAACACATTGTCATATTTTCTAACAACCGCAATGTGCGTTTGGTTAGAATGCCAACCATACCAAACCTCGTTCTATGACGCATGCCTAGACTCATGACGTCATGTTTATGTGCACAAGCAGATTCCATCACAGCATCAGGGATTATTCTCTCTTTAAGCGCCGGTGTTATGTGCACACCATTCCCTGCGACGCTTGGCATCCCTGCGCGCAGAGCTCTGCTTGATAAGAGAATAGTCAATGAAAATATTTTAGGGTGTTTCAATCATTAATTCACAAATGAGGTATCAACGATCGTCCAAAAACTGAAGGGACTGAACCTCATGTGTTTTAGATTATCGGTAGATCTGATAAACGTTGATTTCATGTGTTACAAATAGTACTGCCAAGTCTTCAGCCATTACATCTGTATTGTCAGTAATGACGTTTCACAACTTTGTGCAGCAAGTCATTGTTCATTTAACCGTTTCAGTTAAGCGTCATTGGATCGATGCTCATGATATAAATCACTGGATTGTCTGGTCCAGACTGGATTATTTACAGTGAGTGAGTGAGTATGGTGTTACGCCGCTTTTAGCACATCAGAATTGGGCTTCACACAATGTACCCATGTCGGGAATCGAACCCGGGTCTTCGGTGTGACGAGCGAAAGCTTTAACCACAAGACTACCAAACCGCCCCGATTATTTACAGACCACCGTCATATAGCTGGAATATTGGCGAGTGCGGTGTTAAACAACAACAAACAAACAAACAAACAAATTCTTGCCAACTGGGGGTCACTCAGTCGGTTTGAGGGGGCACGGGTGGCCCAGTCGTCTAAGGCGCTGCGATTCGCTGTGTAGAGTTGTGTCCCTTGGGCACGCCAGAAACCTATGATTGTGGGTTTGAACCCCTGTTCAACCAGATTATGTTTCTAGGTTTTTCAGCACCATACCCGTGCTATGGTAAACGTCTGAGACCTGCATCACTTCGGGCTTTCCTCCCACATTAAGCTGACACGCCATGATATAACTGGAACACTGTTAAAAGCGGCGTTAAACACAACTCACTCACTCACTCTCAGTCAGTTTGAAGGTGTTGTAAAATTTCCGGGTTGTAAAGATAACATAAGCTCTGGAAGACCCCTTTTTTGCTGTATGCCATCCGTATATACTCCAGTGCATATTGCAGAAATTGTCCCTATTTAGAAGGATCTTGTTTTGTACCAAAAACAAAACTGTCAAAAGGCAGTTTCAAATAATAAATAAACAAATATGGTACCTAGCCTGTATAAACAGAATACGGTACTTTCTTTGATTTTCATTGTAGTCAGGGTATGAAACTCCCAAAAACTTCAGCCAGACCACAGGACTGGCTAGCTGAAATACTTCCCAGCCCTGACCAAAACCTGCCTGCCCACTATAATCATATGTTTCTCAGGATAAGCTAACGGGGTTTCTTTTTGGTTACATTTTATCATTCATCTTTACATGTGAACAGACTATTATATGGTCTCTGATGTGAATTAATGCTTATCATCGGGAAATATTTAGAATATTGTCAATTATGAAATATAACCCGACCGTCGGGCAGGGGGATTTGAAAATCTTGCAGCCGGAGTTGAAATCAACCCGTCTCGGACGGTCGGGCAGGCAGGTATTTCGAACACTGTTGTAGTATATGTTAACAAGTGTTGTTCTCTGCCTTTTTGTAACAAGTGTTCTTTGCTTGTATTAGGAACTGTTGTTTTATGTGTGTAGGAGAAACCATGTCTCCTCACATGAGGGTTTACAATATCTAGTAATCTCGAGGAGACATGGTTTTTCCAACTTATAAACCGACTCATCGCATAGACAACGTTTTTAATTAAATAACTGTAATAAAAACTCTCAAATGTATAACCTGTATCGGAGATGAAATATCGCCTGCAGTCGTGAACTCGGTTCAATGAAACCGGTGACCTCAGCACGTGGGTTTCGCAACGGTGCGAAATCTGCATGTGCGTCTCGCAATGGCACAAATTCTGCACGTGCGTCTCGTAGGCTGTTCGTAGTTTTTGTTCTATCAAGGGTTTACAATGATTGTAAGCCCTCCTGCGAGGTGTTACCACAACTTCAAAAACTCCATACCGAGTTACACAAACAGCCAGTAGGTTATACGCCAATAAGAACCATGTTTCCAACTTTGATCTTTATTGAACATGACATAATCTGTAGGTCATTCAGAAGTTAATATGACCACTTAGAGATCATATATACTATGTTTCATAAAATTACATTTCTAAAAACTGAAGTTATTGTGTACACGAACTGTTTTGATGCTTTGTTCACAATGAACATTCAATGTCATCCAATGATATTCCAGAAAGCTTCCCGGGGCACACAGGAGGTATATCAGGTATGAGTGAGTGAGTGAGGTTTAACGCCGCTTTGAGCAATATTCCAGCAATATCATGGCGGGGGACACCAGAGATGGACTTCACACATTGTACCCATGTCGGGAATCGAACCTGGGTCTTCCACGTGAGGAGCGAACGCTTTGAGATCTTTAACCACTAGGCTACCTGACTGCCCCATTTCAGGTATGAAGTCTCTGATATGTCGCCTAAGGGCATGGTTAAGAAAACCAACAGCAGTGGTGGCAGTGAAGATCAAATTTGAACCAGGACCCACTTACAATTTTTAGGATAAAATAACTTGTCCCTTCAGATTTTTAGTAGTCTTCAGATAACAGACTAGCAGTCACATTTAACCACTTGGCTACCCCACCACCCCACAGACAGACATAATCATGATAACAGGACATCAGGTGTGGTGTAGTGTAGGCGGATCCAGATAGGGAATCCGCCTCCCCCTCTCCTTTGATAACCAAATGTAGTTTGTTGTAGGCAGTAAAATTATCTGAGAGAGTATTTTGATATTTTGGACCCTCCCTTTTAAAAATGCTGCTCCCACCCTTGCGCAGTGACTTAAAAAACCTTTTCATAATGATTTTCTCCATGGAAATATATTAACAACACTATTTCAAGTTCCTGAGCCTCAGCTCCGAGTTTATTACAGTTAATAAGTGAGGAAACCATAAATAACAAGACACAACCATCGTTGACTAATTCTGTGGCTCCACCATTTCTATACAAGTACCTGTACATATTAGCACTCTTTATACAATGTATCTGTACAACGCAGGGAGCTGTGGTGAACACATCATCAACCATTCCTAACACGCACTCCTATACCTTCATCCTACAGATACACTATAAGGTATGTTGATTCCTATTCATAACGGTTCACATAGAAATCACGTTTCCATGATAATCCACCTTGTGTCACTCACAATAACTGTTGCGAACATGAACAGAAAATCTGATATCATCATAGTCCAGCTATCTCACCGACTAGTCACCTTCTTGCAGAAAAGGTTAGAAATTGGCTGTCCGAGGCTGTCTGTACATGATAATGTTGAAGAAATCCTAAGACTTAAAAAATGATAGTCTTAGTTCTCAGGCACAGCCCGCATCATCTTAAAGTCCGCCGCACGTTTTCGTTTTAATTTCCATTTTAAAAATACAAACAAAAAATCTTTAAATATTCCGTGTCTCGAACACACAACCCTGGAAGTGAAATGCTACAATACTTAAGAAGAACACGATTTCGCCGAAATTATTGTAAGCAAATTTTGGTTACATACCATCTTGAACTACATGAAAACAAAAAACACCTATATTTTCAAAAGCCATGGTCTGAGAAAAAATTCTTTAATTTTTTTAAGCCCAATGATAACATTGTTGCTTGTGTCAATACTGGGATCTTTAGGAGCTGAACATTCTTGTACACCATTTGACCTTCGGTCTCAGGGCGTGCAAGCCCAATCAGCATGCGAGTGAGTGAGTAAGTTGGGTTTGATGCCGCTTTCAACAGTATGCCAGTTATATCATGGCATGACAGCTTAATGTGGGGAGACAGCCTGAAGTGATGCAGGTCTTGGACATTTCTAACCTACAATCATAGGTTTGTGTCGTGCCCAAGTGATGCAACTCTGCACATTGAGGCGCTTTAGACGACTTGGCCACCCGTCCCTCCAATTCAGCTGTGAAAGCCTGTTGTGTGACACGTGGATCTCATCATGATTCTACTGAAGTCAGTAGCTGGCTACAGAAACCCAATCTCATTAAAATCAGATCGTAGTTTTGCTACTGCTAAACAAAGATCTGAGGACATCCCATTACGGGTCACGTCAGAACGACCTTTCACGAAATTTGACCGACTAATGAAATGACTGACAAGAAATCGTCATTGGCCAATCAGAAGGCAGCTTTCTTGAGCTTTACGACACTAGTTTCAAAGTGGCGACTGCGCTTCGAAACATATTTTGATTAAAGATTTTAAAACTGATAAGAACATTCTGGAATGGCTTATAGATGGCACAGATTGTATGGATATAATCATAAAACCTGTAACTGTTGTTCGGAATACCCTGTGTTAAATATATCGTGGTTGCATGATTAGAAAACACATTCCGACTGTCACCTTCATAATCTGGTAAGCGACGCTCTGATTGGTTGGATGAAAGGTCGTTCTGATGTGACCCCTAATGGGATGTCCTCAGATCTTTGTAAAGCGATAGCGAGAACTAAGATCTGATCTTTATGAGATTGACAGAAACCATAAACTCAGGTACAGAGACGTTGGAGCAGAACATGACCACTGACCCACTCTAAACCTCAGGCCCACAGTCAACATTTGGTAGACATGTAATGTCCGAGGAAGCATCTGAATACTTGATCCAAGAACTGTTGATTTAATGTTCACGAAATATTGCATAACTGTTCGAAAAAGGTTCATGGTGAGGCATCAATCCAGTTGCTGAAACGAGGATGGGAAAGCATCCACACTGAAACACCATCTCTCAACACATGACTGTGTTCCAAATCATAGCTATGCTGTCCACATGATTAGTAAAGTCAGACAGATGAAGCATCAAGACACCATCTTCTTGCTGTATATAGCCAGGAGCTTGCTATTGACCTCGTCCACATTGAGTTTGTCCCCATAGAGAGGGAGGAGGGTGACAACGCCACGCCGCAGCATCAGGTCTGAGTCCTGCTGGTCCATGTGATGGACCTGCAACAGAGCGAGTGAGTGGTTTTACACCACTTTTAACAATATTCCCACAATATCACGGCGGACACCTAAAATGAGCTTCACACATGTGGGGAATTGAACCTGGGTCTTCAGCGTGACGAACGAATACTTCAACCACTAGGCTACCCCACCGCCCCCTGCAACAGAGGCTGACTCACCTGCATCCTGACGTACTCCACCATAAGGGCCAACTGGTATGCTTCCTGACGTACTCCACCACAAGGGCTGACTCACCTGCTTCCTGACGTACTCCACCATAATGGCTGACTCACCTGCATCCTGACATATTCCACCACAAGGGCTGACTCACCTGCTTCCTGACGTACTCCACCATAAGGGCTGACTCACCTGCATCCTGACGTACTCCACCACAAGGGCTGACTCACCTGCTTCCTGACGTACTCCACCATAAGGGCTGACTCACCTGCTTCCTGACGTACTCCACCATAAGGGCTGACTCACCTGCTTCCTGACGTACTCCACCATAAGGGCTGACTCACCTGCATCCTGACGTACTCCACCATAAGGGCCAACTGGTATGCTTCCTGACGTACTCCACCACAAGGGCTGACTCACCTGCTTCCTGACGTACTCCACCACAAGGGCTGACTCACCTGCTTCCTGACGTACTCCACCATAAGGGCTGACTCACCTGCTTCCTGACGTACTCCACCATAAGGGCTGACTCACCTGCATCCTGACGTACTCCACCATAAGGGCCAACTGGTATGCTTCCTGACGTACTCCACCATAAGGGCTGACTCACCTGCTTCCTGACGTACTCCACCATAAGGGCCGACTCACCTGCTTCCTGACGTACTCCACCATAAGGGCCAACTGGTGCGCTTCCTTGTCCTGCTCCCTTTCAAACAGAATCCTCCACACAGCTCCCGCCAACTCTCTGTCATCTCCCAGAATACCCTGCAGAGACAGTGCCGACTACATGAGACTACACCTGGAGTATTTCCTGAATGGGAAGTACAAGACTGGTGTCTCGCCACCTTTCTTCAATATGTAAAGAGCTGTAATGATAGTTATGTTCAAATAGATGTCACCAATGTCGCCTAGACCTAATGGCTGTGAAGGATGCAAGTTAGAACTGCTTCCCATCTTCCAATATAGTAGATGGTACTGTTATCATCATTATGACCTACCACCATACACGTATATAAAGATTTGAAATACTCATGAATACGCATCCTAATACATTTTGAAAATACTGATATTTTGTGTTTTTCAAAATCATGCATATTTTCATCTTGTTGGCAAAGTTTACATGACAGACAAATCAAGTTCAAATCATGAAATTCATAAATTAGAAAACAATTCCAGTGATTGAAAAAGCGAAACATGACCACCTTCCTGTATATAACGTCTCTTATTACGTTTGTGTTGTGACCACATTCAACAAAATGGCGGACGCCTATTAAGTTATAAAAATGTAGGTAATTTTTATTCAGGTTCCAAACAAATTATTGCAATACATGATTCACTATTGTAATAAATAGCAATATGAAATCCATCACAGCGGTAATATTATGTTCCAGTGAACTTATCCAGATTGGGACTTCTTACCTCGTCATAAGAGAAGAGAGCAGCATAGAAAGCACCTCCAAGATCCTTGATGCCCTCCTTCCGTGCAGTCAACGAGGCTGCATTCTGAACAACACAATAACACTCAATACTTCCATCTTGTCAGGCTCACCAATGTTTATCTAACAGTCTGATATTTGGGTGAAAAAAACCCAACTAATAGAGAATCTCCAGCAGGTTATCAGTCCGCAAAGTGATGCTATTGCCATGACTGTTGTCACTTGTGACAGATGTAGCGAGAAGATTGCTTGGTTGAACAAATCCTTGCCAAAAATATACTACACCAAAAAAACCCGCCTTGCCAAAAATATAAACCATTTTCGGGCGTAATTCAAGTCAACAGAAACATTAATACACATTTACATATAGTTATTCTCTTAGTTTCCTAACAGTATGAAACTTCAGGGTACCATTATCAATGTTGACTAGTACACATGTATGTATGAATGTTTCATGTTTCACTCAGTTTCACTCAAGACAAAGCGTGTCTCGAGTTAACTACCATTACATCATACTCTCAGGAATATTGTTTCCAACAGCATTTCAATCGTATCCAGGTGACGTCTCAGACGTTTACCACTTTGGTGAAACCCATGGGATTCAAACCCATGACCACAGCTTTCTTGCACACCAAGGGAACGCAACTCTGCACAGCTAATTACAGCACCATCAGTACTCATAAAATCCTGTAAACATACTACTCAACATTTCTTAAGGATCAAGATCTAGTAAAATCCTAGGTATTTTTTATACTTGTATACTTATCCTGCATTACTCCTTAATGCATCTACTGCTTGTTCTTGACAGAAAGAAGAGCTGTGTAAGGTCTTGCTGAAGAAGAAGTTGTTTCAACTAGCTGACAGGACAACCCTATCACACAGCTCAGGTCATTTTTAGTTGGTGTGGTCCTTAGAAATGTTGAGTAGTATAAATAGAGCAGCACCTACCCCTAGCTGCTTGCTCCTCCTGTCCACGTCGGCCCACATCGCCTCCACCAAGCTGTTCCGTACAACACGGCCCTCCTTGTCCAGTACAGCTAGACGCACCATACACATCCTGGACGGACATAGCATCGTCACAATATCTGATAACATCCATCTGTCATGTGTACCTGGGAGGTTGGGTAGCCTAGTGGTTAAAGTGTTCGCTTGTCACGCCGAAGACCTGGGTTTGAATCCCGACATGGGTACAATGTGGGAAGACCATTTCTGGTGTTTCCGGCTGTGGTATTGCTGGAATATTGCAAAAAGCGGCGTAAAGCCATACTCACTCACTCACTCACTCATAGCATCGTCACAATATCTGATAACATCCATCTGTCATGTGTACCTGGGAGGTTGGGTAGCCTAGTGGTTAAAGTGTTCGCTTGTCACGCCGAAGACCTGGGTTTGAATCCCGACATGGGTACAATGTGGGAAGACCATTTCTGGTGTTTCCGGCTGTGGTATTGCTGGAATATTGCAAAAAGCGGCGTAAAGCCATACTCACTCACTCACTCACTCACTCATAGCATCGTCACAATATCTGATAACATCCATCTGTCATGTGTACCTGGGCGGTTGGGTAGCCTAGTGGTTAAAGTGTTCGCTTGTCACGCCGAAGACCTGGGTTTGAATCCTGACATGGGTACAATGTGGGAAGACCATTTCTGGTGTTTCCGGCTGTGGTATTGCTGGAATATTGCAAAAAGCAGCGTAAAGCCATACTCACTCACTCACTCACTCACTCATAGCATCGTCAAAATATCTGATAACATCCATCTGTCATGTATACCTGGGCGGTTGGGCAGCCTAGTGGTTAAAGTGTTTGCTTGTCACGCCGAAGACCCGGGTTCGAATCCCGACATGGGTACAATGTGTGAAGCCCATTTCTGGTGTCTCCCGCCGTGATATTGCTGGAATATTGCTAAAAGCGGTGTAAAACTCACGCACTCACTCTCATAGCATCGTCACAATATCTGATCACCCTCTACCTGCCATGTATACCTGGACATAAAAAGATGTAGTGGTATCATGAAGAGTACATGTGGTTTTATGTGTCCTGTGTTAGAATTTATACCATGAACCGGAGGCAAGTATAAAACCACATGTACCCCAAGTGATCCTGCTACAACGAATTTATGTTACCGACATGTTTTGATATGACATTGTAAAAGATGCTCTCCAAGTTCTGTATTCGATGTAATAAGCGCCCCGTTCTAAAAAGCGTCCATGGCGATATTTGCTAATATATTGGCAAGTGAATAATATCAATAAGCACCCCTTCCGATTGATGAATGTACACAAGACGTAAATTTATTCGTGTATAATACGCACTCGTGTGTTATATGCACACTTAATTCTAGAAAAATATATCTGTCGTATATATATGCATTTCAAGCTGTCAGCATTAACCACAAAATTAATGATCTTTCAACTATTTTTTTCACCAAAATAATATTCAAATAAGAGCCCCCTATTTCTAACTTTGAGAACGCCCTGGGCACTTACTATGTAGAATATGGTATGTCCAACCTACCAGACATGCAGCTCTGTGACCAGGAACCAGGAGTTGAAGGTGTCGGGCAGGTTCAGATCTACAGCAGTGGGGACAACTTCCTCAGAAACATGTCATGATATATTGGCCATATGTACCCAAACTCCCCCGCTGACTAACCATTACATATATCTGATATACTGTATAACATGTGTGACCATGTAAGACTCCTGCATCTAGACATTCCATCAACGAATTGCTGATAAATAATGAACCAGACATGAAAAAATAACAATTCACAAAAATATATTCACATAACAGATTCTGCAAACACCCAGAAATCAAGCACTAGGCAAGCCCTGTAAATCATCCCCATTGACAGTGTGAAGAACAAAGCCACCTTTGGATAGTGGTTGGTTGGTTGGTTGGTTTGTTGTTTAACGCCGCACTCAGCAATATTCCAGCTATATGATGGTGGTCTGTACATAATCAAGTCTGGACCAGACAATCCAGTCATTGACATCATGAGCATCGATCCACGCCATTGGGATTGATGACATACATCAACCAAGTCAGCGAGCCTGACCACTCGATCCCGTTAGTCACCTTTTACGACAAGCATTGTCGCCTTTTACGGCAAGCATGGGTTGCTGAAGACCTATTCTACCCCGGAATCCTTTGGATAGTGGGGCCCCTTGAGGCCAGGGTTGAAGGGGAGGAAGCACCCAAGCTTTATAGGGGACATTCAAGCGTGTCCCTCTACCAGGAGGTAACATACATACCCCGAAACATTTGTTCCAAGTCCACTTGAGCCTGACAGCAGGTGTACATGTTGTATCCTGACAGCTTCAGTTTCTGGGGAGACAAAACTACTGTCCCTGAAACAGGCTTGTGAGGGACATGAAACTGGGGTCTCACAATGGCTGCTGGTCTTGTGATGGGGCATCCCTTCCAATCTCAACAGTCCTGCTCAGTGATCACAATGATTATTATTTCTGACCCATGTGGCCTTCAGTTGTTAATGTAATTTAAGAGATCATGACTGCAGGTTCTAGAAAATATACCCAGGCATGCTGAGAGTTTTCACTGACAAAAACACTGTTTAGTTAAGGCTAAAAGAAATAATAGTCTTGGTTCTCAGGCACCGCCTGCATCATCATAAAGTTCGCCACACATTTCGTTCTTATTTCCATTTAAAAAAATTATTTAAAAAATCCTTAAATATTCCAAGTCCAACGGTAGTCGAATACTGTACTCCAGTATTTTACTCATCAAGGAATACATTCCTGTTGGGAGGTCCTTTCCCAGGCTGATTGTACACAATTGTTTATTTGGTTACACAACTGTTAATAAGGCTACACAACTGTTTATTTGCTTGCATACTCGTTTGAAAAAAAGAAGACACCACCCACCCACACTTTATTTTCAAAACAATTGCCTGAGAACCAATTCTTTTATTTTTTTTAAGCCTAATGGTCAATTAACATGATTAAATATGAATTCAGTATGTTTTGGGAGTGGTTGGTTTGAAATTCCTTTTGGTGCAAAATTAACTAACCAATTCTTATAAAGAAATTAAATTATTACGGTAGTGAGCTTTATACACAGAAGACCAGAAGACATCTGGGTTCATTAAGCATAACAATAATTACATCTCTAAAACCAATCTGGTTATAAGAGGCGACCAAATGGATCAGGTAGTCATGCTCGGTGACGTGCGTCATCTTACCGAGACCGCATTGATTATTGCTTACAATATCAATCACTTGATTTTCTGGTCCTGACTTGATTAAAAACATTGTCAACTGGATGTTGAAATGAGAGTGTGAATACTGTCAGCAATAGTCCAATGACATAAGGGAAGCCTATAATTAAGGCCAAGCGAAGCCCTCTAGAAAGATTCGAAACACTGATTACCGCTTTAGGATACTTCAGTCTGCCAGTGATGCCCATCTGATTCTTGGCTCTGTCCCACAAACTGGGCTGCTTCACAGCTACAGATGTGTACCCCACCGATGGAACCTGCTCATATAATCATGATAATATATAACAGTCTCCAGTTAGTGATGTATTCTTTCATCAAACTCGACTTACACATGGTCCTTTTAAACAAAAATTCAAACATTCAACAATAGTAAAACTTAAAACTTTTCAATGAAAATGAATAACATGAACATGACTGAGTTTCAGCAAAGTGAACTGTGTTTTACTGTCAGTGGTATGTTACGTCACCATGGTAACCATCTACTTCTGTCCACAGGCATAATCGGGGTGTCTTAAAATATGTAGGTCTGGCTTACTCCACTGTTAGCAAAATCCCATCAACTTCACTGTGGTAGAACTGTGGTAGTTCTTGGTAGAACAAGCCAGCACTTTCACCACACGGCTAATCGACTGCCCCATATTGAGGTAAGCTAAGATACTAGTGACATGACAAGTACCTGGACTCGACATGCAGGATGGTGGGACGTTGTTGTCTGTGCAGTGTCAAACTGTTGAACTCCATACAGCACTCTTCCAGAACTTCCCACGACACTGCTCATCTGTAAGGATAGAAAAAATAAAATGTTACCGGTAATACTAAATGATAAGCAGTAAATAGATTGAAAGTTGAAAGATAGCTGATGGCCTAATACTGCCATAACCAGGATCAGGTGATGATTTAAATCAATATTTTTCTTAACATACTTTAACAGCCAGTGTTTTCATGCTGTAATCATCTCTTCAACCCAATCATTCATACATTGGTAGCCACATTGGATTGGCAGAGCGTGGGCTTGGGCTAACTGGTCTCAAGGTATTAAAGCCCATTCAGCTTGTGTAAGCCTGTTGTGTTACACACGAACCTCATCATATTAGTACTAAAGTTTGATTGAGTTATTCACATGGCTCTTGGATTATCCTGAACACAATTTTTTATGTTGGATATCAATCCTCGAAGTTAATGTCTTCCGTGTATGGGGCAATCGCAAACATGGTACAATGCATTTTGATTGTAATGTGGCAGTGTATATTGTAACTTGTGGCAATTTGATTGAAGCGTCCGTATAATGTTGACCTTGAAATAGAGTGACCTCTCTTGGTTGTTTATATTTCAAACTCTGTCCAGCACTTGACACCTTCATGACCTGCCAGGTATAGAGAGCTCTTCTGTGAGAAGCTTGACTTATTTCCATTTGTTTAAGGACAACAGTATTCTGGACGGATCAAAGCTCATGACATCTCTGGAAGGCTGGCTGTACCTTTATAACCGAGAGACGAAAGCAATTCGAAGCCTTTCTCCTACAACCTGACTTGCATCTATCTACTTGCCCTGTGCGGACAGGATACCTTACAGAGCACATGCCTCATTCAACTGTGACAAATACTGGACATTCGTAAGTACCTTATCCTGTATATTTCACTATAATTTGTTGATTGTTCATTGATCTTGAGTGGTTATTTACGGATTTCACCGGATTAATTTGTCATAAAAGAGGTGAGATAGCTAACCCGTACCCTAACTCACAACAAGCCCTTAAGATTGTAAAGGGTTATTTGATTGTCCAACTCAAGAATCGTGAAGGTGTGTTTGATCAGAAAGGTGTACCCAGAGACCATATAACGATATATCGGTATATGGTCTCTGGTGTACCTAACCCTAATTATTGGAAAGAGGTGACTGAAAGAGAATCCATGGGCTAAGGATAGAACTGAGGGTAGCTTACACTAACCCAAACAATTAAACGGATGGATTGAAGAGACAATAGAGATCAGCAGTGAAGCAAGAGAAGCAGCCTGCACACAAAGTCAAATTGCACTATGGGCTTCGGCTAGTATACTGCAGTCTTGACACAGGCGTTCGTATCGTTGATCTATGGTAATGACAGAACTTACATAACCAGTAAAACTTTCGCCTGACCCCACCTTGATTTTTTTTTAAACTCTTAAGAAGTATTAAGAAATCATAATGAAATTTATGTTGGGTTAGGCTTCGGTTGAGGTAAACCAAGTCAAAATATGAACATGTTGAAGCAGGGGTTACGCTCGGAAGGGCTAAGGATAGAGCTGAGGGTAGCTTACACTAACCAAAACAATTAAACGTATTGATTGAGGAGACAATTGAGATCAGCAGTGATCAGTGAAGTGAGAGAAGCAGCCTGCACACACAGTCAAATGAAATAGCACTATGGGCTTGGCTAGTATACTGCAGTCTTGACACAGGCGCTCGTATCATTGATCTATGGTAATGACAGAACTTACATAACCAGTAAAACTTTCGCCTGACCCTGCCTTGATTTTTTTTAAAATTCCTAAGAAGTATTAAGAAATCATAATTAAATTTATTTTGGGTTAGGCTTCGGTTGCCATAACCCAGTCAAAATTTGAAGCAGGGGTTACGGTCGGAAATATTTTCACATAACCTTCTAAGGTTATATATAGCCTAGTAGCTAGGTAGGCATCACAGAACAACGATGCGTACGCCTGTGGCTCCATTGGCCTTTGTACAATAGATATTGCAAACAAGAACTACCTCTCTTTGAACATAAAACTTTAAGAAGTGGTGTCGACATGTGGCCAACGCTTTCGAAAACGTCTTCAGACTGTTCATCGTTATAATACCGACTTTCACATGTAGGAACTCTCCTCTGTGTGAAGGCGATTTATTTCTCCCGGTAGCAAGCTCCTCACGGCGATAGCCCGTGTAACGAAGGTGTCACGCGCTGGGAAGGAGCTTGTCCCGGTAGTTACGCTTACAGCAATTTAAAATAAAACATTATTTCGTCTTTTCCTTAGAAAATTGGGTTGTTTGGAACAGAACTATGGAACTATCGATTATCTCTTCATTAGATCGTTCGTGTGTTGTGTTATGTACAAATATACTGTCAGTAAACGCTTCTTTATTATTTGCTGCTATGTGGGGCGAACCGGAAGTTAATGCCCGGAAATAAATGTCACATGGTGTAAACAAGGTGCAAAGTCGTATTTGCAGGAAGAGGGGTTCATCGTAAGCTTCACACAGTGTGTATTAACACACATTCATGAAATGTCACAGTGGCAATAGCCCTAAACTATCTTGTGTTATTTTTGTGAAAATAAGAAAAATAAGCACGAAAATGAATTATCAATACTAAAGTTACAGGATGTAGATCCCAACGCGATATCACCATGACAATCAGTGCACCAGTTTCTGTGTAGGAGATATGGTCTCTGGTAGAAACTGAAGTTTACCAGGGTTACCAGGGTTACGCCTTCTGGTTAGATAACGAATCACTAATCACTATTTTGCACGATTTAATGACATATGGTTATCAGGGTTAGAAACTAACAGTTTTTGTCAACTAGTCCTTATAATGATAACATATAGCAAAACCCTTAAAATTGGCCAATTTCTGCTAGTCCTCAGGATACCTTTACCATTGGCGAGTTTGGTAAGGACTACAGGACTAGTGCCAATTTCTAACGCTGGTTATGATTTATGCACGTATCCAGTGTCATAGCCACTGCTGATTTTTTAAAAATTGTTTACTCTGCAGACGTCTTGTAACCATGGAGAAGGACAGTGGAATGAGGTCAGAGTTTCAGTCCGTCATTGGGGTAGATACTCATGTGCTCAAATTTGGAGAATTACCTCCCCCAAGTCAGCACACAGCCTTGTTATTTCTCATCATACCAGGTATAGTATACTGAACAACTTTAACAGGCTCCATCCTTCCATAACGTTTCGTTTCTGGAGCATTACAAAAATACATTCTTTTGTCAGTTAAACTTTTCAGGAATAACCGAATTGGAAACAGGAAAGTTTGAACTTTTTTTTGTGTCAGCAAGGCAACAATTTGGACTTAGGATCGAGTGAGGGGAGAGTTAGATTCTGGAACATTACACAGTTCACTATCTTACAATTGTTCAATTGTTTAGTTTTGATGGAAGTATGATATTGAGTTTCGCCACTTATTCGTATCAATGGCAATGTGTAGAAAGCATTTAAAGTACAGAAGGAAGCTTATGGTGTAGTGTATCATGGATAGGTGATTCTGCCTGCGATCAACATGTCACTCACAATCTTTAGGACTACTGTACTCACAGTTTTGATTGGTATAAGCAGATATGTGACGTGCATAAAAATAATTTATTTTGCACTTTTATAAGCTTATTTAAAAGGGCAGGATAGGTTACATTAACACTCAAAGTCAAACCTTGTTGTCTACAACCTGAGAGGACAAAATAAATGGACCGCTTATAATCCTGATCATCAGTATCATTGAACAAGCATACATTGCTTCAAGCAACAGGTATGATGTTTGCCAAGTTTTCTCAGTTGAACTTTGAAGTTAAGAACCACCTGTGTGACTTCCGCATGATGAACGAGTGACACTAGTTAGCAGTTCATTCAATTTTTGTGCAGCACTTTGATGTCTAGACCATACATATATGCTGTGATGCATATCTGATACGTTTTCTAAATTACCCCCCACCATATCGTGCATATTTTCATCTGTTCATACGCCGATAAGCTTTTATCTGGGGCCCTGCCCAAGTTTTATATCTTCTTATGACCTGTTTGAGGAATAAATTCATGACCTGTTAGTTGAGATTATCCAAAGGGTTAGTTCAAGACTTACATAAAACTATGTTTGAAGTACAGTAAACTACGGTTATAACAAACTTAAATGGACCTCCGCTTGTAGTTCGTAATACATGTAACAACTGTAGTCCGTTATAAGCATATATACAACATCTATACAAAAAATGGCCGGGACAAAAAATTAAAGTCGTAATATCCGTCAGTTTGTTATAAGTGTGTTTGTTATATTTTACTGTATAAGTGTATTTGAGAAAATGATTTCTAGATAAAAAAACAATTGATACATTAAGGTAGATATTTTGAAAGTAAGATTTTTGCGATGTGAAATGTATCAGCAATCTCATTAAAATCATACCTCAATTCTTGCTATCGCTAAACAAAGATCTGAGGACATCCCATTAGGGGTCACGTCAGAACGACCTTTCATCCGACCAATCAGAGCATCACTTACCAGATTATGAAAGTGACAGTCGGAATATGATTTCTAATCATGCAACCTCGAAAACATTAACTCCGAACGATAGTTGCGGGTTTAATGACTGAATCAATACAATGTAGACCATCTGTTAGCCATTCCAGAATGTTCTTTTGTTCAGGTTTCAAATTTGTAATAAAAAATTTGTCAAAATATGTTTTGAAGCATAGTCGCCAATTTGAAATTAGTGCCGTAAAGTACGAGATAGCTGCCTTCTAATTGGTCATTCCATTGGTCGGTCAAAGTTCGCGCAAGGTCGGTCTGACGTGACCCGTACTGGGATGTCCTCAGATCTTTGTTCAGCTGTAAGATCTGATTTTAATGAGATTGAATGTATCAGGCACAGTAAGAGTAGTGATATCAGCAATTGTTTGAAAGCTGCCATCGCCCGACAGTCTCCATGCTCAGTATGTATGTTAAGCTTGTTTGTTTGTTTCAGGTAACCCTGGTATCATCGAATACTACGAGGAGTTCATGAGAACACTGTACCATCTGAGTAACTGTCAGACCCCAGTGTGGGGCATTGCCCACGCAGGACATGTGTCTCTTCACAACCGCACATCAAGTTTAACCGATCTAGGTAGTACAATATTATTCTCATGTGTTCTCAATCTTTGTAAGGAATACCGGTAGAGGCCAAGTGACAGTGCATTATCAGAATATGGTTAAAAGTATCATCATTGAAAAAAATGGGGGTTGATAAAGCGCTGCCACAAGTTCTCTTTCTTATTTCAGTCAGTGAAATATTACCTTATGCAGAAAACACACATGCATCAGACTTTATGTATTGTCAGCAGGGATTTTAGGTTATCAAGATTTAGAAATGCCTATAAAATAATTCAGGATTTTGAGAGTCTCCATGACATGAAGTGATGCTCTCTCATTTGTCTGAAGTTTTAGCCGTAAAGAAATGAATTTGAATCCAATATTGTTTGAGTCACAAGACGGCTACGACACCACGAATGCATCTTTGTTCTGTTCGCACTGCAGACAGTGTTTTGTTTGTTCCCTTTGGGAAAAAGCCTTATTCATTTCATGTACTTATCCACATCCAAGATGTCATTATCTAAATCAGAAGTGATAATTATCCAGTTGACTTTGGACAAGAACTTGACCCTCCGTGGACAAATTATGCATTAATCCAAATTAAAAACATTCTTATTATGCATTAATCCAAATTGAAAACATTCTTATTTCCTTCATGAAAATTAAATTGTAATGTGATGCCACCAGCTCATTGTCCCTCAGACTGCCACATGGTTTACAGGTTTTGGTGCTTGTGTGATAAGCTTATAAGCATGCATGGAGTGGCAGGATTAAGTAAATCTTTCAACCTATTTCAGTTCAGATGCCCCCCGATGAATTCAGCCTTCAGGGTCAGATACGTCACAAGATCGCATTTGTTAGACAAAATGTGCCAGAGCATGTGAAGATCGTCATGATAGGCCATTCCATTGGCTGCTACATAGGTCTCAAGATGATGGACTCTCTTCAAGACCACCATGTGTTACGGTGTTTCATGCTCTTCCCCACGATCGAGCGCATGGCCGTGTCACCTCGTGGTCTCTATGCAACACCGTTTCTGCGCTATTTCCGCTGGATGGGAGTGTTGGCGTCCAAGTTCCTCTCCTACTTCTCCCCCCACATGCAGTACAGACTCATCCTCCGCTTCTTCAAGAACAGAAAAGCTCCAGAATGTGCCCTCAATGCTTCCATGAACCTGTTCGACCCATGTTGTGTAAATAACTTCACGTTCATGGCTCTGCAAGAAATGGACGAAGTCACGAAACTGCCAAAAGAACTTATCAAGAGATATTTATCCAAACTAAGCTTTTACTATGGTTCATCTGACCATTGGTGTCCCAAGGAATATTTCTACCAGATGAAGAAGCGATTTCCGCATGCCGATCTCCGATTGTGTGAGCATGGCTACTCACATGCATTTATACTGGATGCCAGCGAGGAGATTGCTTACACAGTGTGGAACTGGCTGCAGGGAGATTTGCACAAACTCAACGATTGAAGATATGACCACAAACATTGACAGCTTTGTACGCTCCCTAGAAGCAGAGAACTGAGAAGAATGATGAAGTATGGTTTGACTGTGATCAATTTTATGTTCATAATTGCCTTTGTTTATGCATTTATTTATTTATTTAGATATTAAAGTCTAGCATTTCTTCAGTTGTTGCATAGTTGAACTGAAGGAAGTTGAGCATGTTAGAAGTGATGTGTCATTCTTGGGGCTTAAATGATCATTTTCAAACTGAACAGCTGAATGCTGACAAGTATTTTTTGTATAATGATTATATTTGATAATACTAGTTGTATAATACTAGATAATTAAAAATTGACTTCAATATTTTTGCATTTATGGAGGTATAAACGTTAAAACCCGTGTGCATGCTGTGTAGCTTTTTTAATTATTCACATATATGCAAAATACTGCAGACAACTGTACGAAATCAGTGGCATTGCTCAGTGCAGCCAATCAGGAAACAGTAGTTATTGGGGGGACCTCATTTTTGTTTGTAAATGGAAACAAATGCAAAACAAATTTATTTGTTAACCAATCATTTGCCATGGAATTGCTTGCAACTTACCGTATTCGACGTAATAAGCGCCCAGGGCGCTCTCAAAATTAGAAATAGGGGGCTCTTATTAGAATATTATTTTGGTGAAAAATAAACAGAGTTGAAAGATAATTTTGTGGTTTATGCTGACGGCCTGAAATGTTTAAATATGAGAGATACATTTTTGCAGAATTTGATTGCTCATTATTAAGGGTGCAAATAACACACGAGTGAGTATTATACGCAAATAAATAAGTGTTGTGTACATTGATCAATCGGAAGAGGTGCTAATTGGGATTGTTCACTAGCCAATATATTAGCCAAAAATTGCCGTGGGCGCTTATTAGAGCGGAGCGCTTATTACGTCAAATATGGTATTTATTGTTGAATGCAGAGCTATTGACAGACCAATGCATAAATTTTGTCTTCAAACACAAATGAAATGAAACTGCATTGTAAAACACTGCATCTTTATAGCATCTCTGTATGTTCAAAGGAGTAAACGGTAGTGTGTAATCTGAGCCCCACTTGAGCCAGGTCAAGGTGGAAGGTGCAGAATCGGTTTCCATCCAGGTTCTTGCAAGTAATCAAGTGAATCGAATTGTGAGTAAAAGTTAATGTGTTTTGTTTTACAAACTAAACATGCTAAAGAAATGATAAATGAAAATTCAGATCAAACCTTTTAATAACTTAAAATCGAGGGAAAATGTTTAATAGTATTGCATGTGATATTGATGTTTGGAATGTTTAGTTGCAGTGCCAACTATTGAGATGTTTCTTAGTGTTGTGTTCTGAAGCCTCACAACTCAATGAGGTTCATCAATCATAACTGAACTCAGGGCTTTGAACTGATGTATTTGTAGGTGTTCCTGACCATGAACACGACGGTGTTGAACATTTTGAAGATTGTTGAAGGCATTAATACTGAAATTTATTTATTTTTTACAAAGAATGTTTAAGAACTTTTCTCAGGAATCACAAGGCAGAGTAAGTTAACAGTACACACAATGTATGTTTTCTGAACTTGCAAAATACTCAGTGTGGCATAACATAATAAAATCAGACCAGAAATACTTGTAATGTAGTTTTGTTATATTGTCATGGCAAAAGAATATCTCCTCTACTGCAATTCTTTTGCCCTTTCTAAAGGTTTCTAGCCACATATCAGCAGACAAGATTAACCCGGATGCTTTCACTGGACTTAACATTTGAGTGATGCTGCCTGCATTCAAGAGCTCTTGCATCACTGTTCTTGCTCTCTGCTTGTCGTAAGAGGTGACTCACAGGATCGGGTGGTCAGGCTCGCTGACTTGGATGGCGCATGTCATCTTATCCCTATTACGTGGATAGATGCTAATGATGTCAATCACTGGATTGTCTGGCCCAGACTCGATTATTTACAGACTGCCGTCACATAGCTGGAATATTGCTGAGTGCGGCTTTAAACAAGACAGACACTGTTCTTGCTTGATCATGTTGATTGCTGCATCACTGTGTATTACAACTCACAGCAGTTGCAACTTGTCATCTAATAGTACTCATCATGGCGATTGAATTAATTAGTGCCTGGACCCTGGAGCGCACCCGTCTCGCGTACATGTGACACTGTGAGTGCTCATGGTGATGGACATCGGAAACATTTCCACCTATCCAGAGGGTGAGTGAGTGAGTTTATGTCGCATTGATCTCTTTGCAACAATTGTTATGACCACAGTTTCTTGAGGGATAGTTATTTTCTTTTATCATTTATCAGCTGTCAGAAAACATAAGTCGTACCAGGATCTCTCAGGGCATAAAACCTAATGAGGGATGCATATAATCCTGAGTGATACAGCTACGATGCCCTTAATTTTACCAACATGTTTTAATATAACAGCTGTTCGATTGAGTTCAGTTTTACTTGTGCTTTGTCTGTGACTTTCAGTGACTCAGAAAAAGCGTGTGGCTGTGTTTTGAAGCGGGGAGTAAGGGATTTATTTTCCCTCAGAAATCCATGTGCAGCCTGTCCTGCTTGTGGCGGGGTATAAGGGATTTATTCTTCTGCTGAGAAACACACACATAGTATATTATCAAAATAACATGGACCAATCAAATCTCATTGTGACATGGAGGTATGATGCAGAGAACATTCATTCATTCATCAGCTGTCAGATGGTGTTTGATGCAGCAGTAAACTCTATCACTTTGGCCAATAAATAATCAAATCTGTACCAGGAAATCCAGAAAACCAGATCCACGCCACTGGGGAACATGGATACACAATGTGAATCAGAATCAGACCACTCTAGACCCGTGAAGATCCGGGCAACAATCAACAATACGTCTTCAGCAACCCATGCTTGCCCTAAGAGGCCACTAATGGGATTGGGTGGTCAGGCTCACTGTGTTGGTTGATGCAAGTTATCGTATCCCAGTTGTGTAGATTGATGCTCATGATATCAATCACTGGATTGTCTGGTTCAGGCTCGATTATTTACAGACCGCCGTCATACGGCTGGAATATTGCTGAGTGCGATGTTAAACAAACAAACAAACAAACTGACCACTCAATCCAATTTTGTCACCTGCAACAAGGGGATGCTGGGGTTCTACTCTGTCCATGTTGACAAACAAACCACCTGTTGAAACACTGCCATCCTGCTGATGCTGGCTGCAGCATAATACACTCTAATTATTTGACGCACTCTCAGATAGAACAAAGTGTGTTCACATAATGTATAGATCCTTTTTATTTCATGAGTGAAATGTACAAAAGGCAGTAGAGGTCGACCCACGACGGTCGGCGGTAAAACATGGTTAATGTAACATTGTAAACAGTGTCGCTAAGTTGTCTCTCACACACACACAGAGACTAGCAAGAGCTGAGGTGAGGTTAGTATGGCTGGTGAATGTCTATCACGATAAAGTCAAAGTGTCAAGGTTAACCCTTTCACTCATAAGCAGCCTAGAGGCATAAACATACTTTTTTTTGGCAATTTTTAGTTATATAACAATAAAATATTGTGACACATTGTATGTTCATCTTCATAAAAATGATACTTGTTATTGATGAATGCAAAAATACTGGCCATGAAACTTAATAACTTGCCAATCCAAATGAATTCAAAAAATGATTCTTCAAAACAGAACATAAAAAACCCAAAGCAATATTAAAAAATAAAACTATAAAAAGTGACCAAGCCAGGCACACCTCAACTCAGCTCTGGTTGAGATGCTTAAAATCAGAATGATCACAGAATTATCAGGGTGAACAATGTGGTTTCTAAAATCATGAAATTTGTAACCATGGCAACAGGAAAAAGGAAGGGGTCTTCAATGTAATATAGATTGAATGTATTTTTTTCACCCAGGTATTAATTCTGAAGAAGCATGAACAAAGTTATTACAGTCTAGCAGTGTCATGAATCATTTCTAACACACCCTCTGTTCTACCACGGGACGAACTGTGCCAGTTAACAACAGTACTGACACGGGTTGAATAATTGAATAATTACAAAACGCTGCGGCACACGATTGAGGCAAGATGTTTACTTATTTAAGTTAGATACACACCCCCACCCACATATATATAAACAGCCAGCCCTCCCACAAGCACAATTAACACTTTGTACAAATTTTACACTCCAATGATATGACTTGTATGGCATGTTGTGACGGCAATACGCATGATATCAACAAGGATATAAACATGAAAGAGAGATGACGGTTGGCTAGTTGCATACACTCCCCACGTCTGCCATCGATACTGTGCCACAGGCAGGGACCACTAAACTAAATATTTAGGGCTCAACTGGACTGCTTAACAATTCAAACTTAACTTACAGAGGGTCAAAAGAGAAGGGGATGATGTTCAATTGTGACTTCTACGATGCCAATAGGCTACTATTTGCTAAATTAGTAAAACAATGAATAGGGATAAAATAATAAGCTTAATCATGCTGTCAACCTTGGTTAATTTGTTCAAATATTGGGCAACGCTGAAGCTGTCAAAATGTAAGGGATAAAATGTGTAAAACTATGAAGACTAAAACTCGGGAATGAAGAATCGCAACATTATAAATGGTACCAATAATAAAACTGTATAAAACATGGGTATTCATAAGTTAAATAGTAACTAAAAACATCCGGACAATACAGGAACTAAATATATACACAGCAAGATGCTACAAGCAACGTATCTGTACACTTAGAGTGGCAGGGAAACAGAATGTGCTAGCCCCTAAAACTCTGTCCTCTGGGGTGAGGCGGGAAGGGTTGTTAGCTCATAGAGAAAGGAATGATCTATGGAGGACGAAGTGGGTCAGGCAGCTGGACAAACAAGGAACAGATGGATACCGAGATGACAAAGGACAACAGTTTGGCACCAAGTCTTAAATACAGTCTCTGAGTTTGTGTATCCCACTTACTACAATATGTGCACTTTGACAGGAGTCAGTGTCTGGTTGGTCTTAAATAATCCGTAACACCTATGTTCAATTGTTTTGGTGAACACTTTGTACAATAATTGCAAGGGTAAATAAACAGTATGTAAACAGTAACTAGTGTGTTACATATAAACCATCAGTAGATTATACACACAATCTTAAAACTTCTTACAAATGGAACAATATCTTCCATCACTGAATCTTTAAGAAGTAACATGTTCATGGCGAGATAAAATGGATTAGTTTAAACATTATTGCACTTTCACTGTTTCAATTATACATGCATATCTCTCCTGTCCCGATTCATACACACAGTTGGTGTTTTGATATGTAAACTGCTGAAAACAAACCAACATAGGCAGAACAATTTCAACTTAAAGCTACAAAAACACATAAATCTCGAAATTTACAAATAATCTGAATTAGTCCATGTTGAAAGTCACATATAACCAAAGCTAGTTTATGTGTAACAAAGGCAAACTTGCATTGTACTTATAATCACAACCAAACATACAACATCACCGTAGTAACTGCCCCCAGCCAATACAGTATCTTACATCAACGTAACATCACTGGAACAAGTTTGGTTAAGCAGATCCAGGTAATTCTAAGGCCTGCGTTGGATTGGTGAGACCAGTCCATGGCTAACCAAACACTATCTATCTACATGATAAATCCATGGCAGAAACAATAACTTGTGCTATGTTAGTCTGTAGATCAGTCGATTGCCTGTACATAATATTATAATAATTGTTTTTGAGCTATTTGTGATGAAGGTATATAAAATGAGAAATAGCACTTAGGTGATTAATGATGTGTATATGTGTGTGTTGGGTTAACCGTGGACAGCGATTCACCAATCGAACACACCCTGGGTCTATGGTTATTAATCTGTGTGAAGAGATACAGGTCTGATTGATATAGATGTCTAGCCTGAAGATGGAATGTGCTCCGACAGCTCACACAGGCCAAGGAGCACAGACCGGGATGAGGAACTTGGCTACTGAGCACAGACCGGGATGAGGAGCTGGGCAAACTAGACGTCCCTGATTGTGGCAGCATCAGTGTTAGCATTCACCTGGAAGATGATTTACATATATTAGCAAAAACATATCTAACTTGCAAAATGAAATCATGTTTGTTTTTGAAAGCCCCATTCCACAAAGCAATTGTAGCACTACATCATTTGTAAGCCTATGATAAAGTATATAGTTATGACAGGTCGTAATATGACAAATGCTTTGTAGATCAGGACCTTGGGTTCTGAACTTGAGGTGTTGACACTGACTGGTACTCCCCCGAAAGGAGCGCATCCAAGCTAGATCCTCAATAAAAAAGTACGCACCTACCGCTTGCCGCCTGTGCTGTTGTAGCGCGATACAGGCGACTGTTGGAGGTTTACTTCATAAATCTGCTGCTTGGTTACTTCCACCTGCAGAGACAGAGAATCTCATTAACGCACTACTCCACCACAATACAGCCAGCGCCAGGCGTATCTCACAGGACGACAGACATGCTCGTAACACAGACACAAGCTACATTCAAATTGCAGGTGCAGTGCAACAGTTGGTTATCTAGCAACACAAGGTGCATGACAGACGTTTAAACCTGATCCACAACGGTCAGGCAGATTGAAACACAAAGCTACAGCTGTGGAAGGCAGCAAAATCAGCTATAGTTTACTCTCAGTATCGTTCGTGCACAGAAGTCAATATTAACACTGCTGGGGAGATAACTCCTACATGTGTATGTAATCTCTCTATTACCACATTTCAGTCTTGATGGAGTGTTTGGCTCAAGAAGTATGAGTGAGTGATTATTGTTTTACAGCACTTTTCGAGTAATATCACATTGGTGAACACCTGAACAGTCTTCACACATTGTACTCATGTGAGGAATAGAACCTTGGCCTTTGGCGTGACAAGTGAATACCTTCACCACTAGGCTAGCCCACAAGTAGTATCAGGTGATAACGTTCATCTTGCCCGACTGTCTAATAGTATTGCCAGCATAGGCAAATCAAGCAGCATCAAGGAGTGATCAAAAAGAATTTAATGATGGATTTCAGAAAGTGAACACAACTGAGTATCTGGCAGTGTTTAAGCAGGGTCAAAGGGAAAATCCTGTTATAGACCCCTCACTTTTCATTGTTACACCTACACCAAATAAAAAACAATCAGAAAAAGCAATCACCACAATTACAATGTAAGGGGAAGATTGTTCTGCAGGACCCATAATCCAACCTAATCCAGGGAGACTGACTCATCACCATGTACTTACAATCTGAACAAATTATCATTAGATTCTACCTGGTCACGTAAATGCTGTTGACAGTACATATATAATGTAGTTACTATGTGCCAATACAGACAATACAAAAAGTTAAACCATTCTGATGACATCACACTACTGTTCTTGCTGTTGATTCAGAGCCAGGAATCCACTGGCCATTCTGAACGTGCATTTAAAACAAGTTAAACTGATGCAACTGAAGGTCATTATACAAAATTACAGAGAAATTATATATCAACCATAACATGGTCTGAGACTGAGATATCACTTGAAGCTGTTGATTCTGAAGGAGAATCAACTCAACTCCTGTCATCAACAGATTCTCATGATTTCTCCATTAGAGAGCAATTTTCCAGACACATCTCACCAAAGGACACCAAGAATTGTCTTCACTTATTGTAACTTAGAATTTTGCATGACGAGCCATGCTATAATCACTAGGCTAACTACCGCCCCTACACAAGGAGAAAGAAAGGTGGTCAAACGTAACTAGGAGTGACAGCTAGACTACAACCATGATCAGAAGACACCCAAGCCAGTAGTTTCTCCACATGTTGCCCAGGCCATTCCAGAAGCTTAAACTAAACAGTGGAGCCCAAGTCAAACGTATCCCATGACAACAGGATCGGGCAACGTGCAGCAGGGCATGCGGTGAATGTAATGTCATACCTCATGTTCGACAGTTTTCTCTACCACTTGAATAGTTCGAAATGATATTTTGCCCGTATGCTCATCGAAATATTCCTCAGTCTTTGTCTGAACTTTTTCATCTACAACACGGGTATTTTCTTCAACCGTCGTGTCTCCCTCTTTACTCACTACAACAAGATGGCTGCCTACGTTGCTAGGCAACCTGGTCTGTGCAAAGAAAATAGTCTGCTGTTGTTGAAGCTTTCTAAGCTCATTTCATAAAATACATTCTGCATGGCTCATGACAATTGGTGAACGTGTATTCATCATGGCGGTCTACTCTAATGCTAAAAAGACAGAAGGCATCGAGTGATCTGCTGTGTGCAGAAATTAGTAATAATGCTTTCAGACAGTAGGTGTAAATTATCATGATAAAGCAGCATTCAAATCAGCAGGGGTTAAAAAGAACAACTTTGACCTAATCATGTGTAATTTTCTGACGAATGTCTTGTAAACTCGTTTTAGATGAAAAATCAATATAGCAGAATATCAAATGCATAATGGTCTTGAAAGAGTGACTCTGGTCCTGATGTTACTCTTTTTAACCCCAGAGTTGTTGATAATGGCTACTTAGGAAAAGAGCAGTACACACAAAACAACAACTGTGACAGTTTCAGGATTCTGTCAATGAAATGCTAATTCAGGGCTAAATAATAATGCACTGAAGCCCTGATCATGATTAATGCTCATCTGACATGTTATTCATGATGCACCAAAATGCACTGCACTAACATAGCTCAAACAATGCAAAGAATACATGGAATAATATCCAGGAATCAAGAATTTTACACAAGATATTCATGTCAAAACTATGCTAAATCAGGCACACTGATACTCTTGTCTCTCGCTGCTAGCTGTATTTAATTATTTCAAACACAATTTACCATATTCAACGTAATAAGCGCCCAGGGTGCTCTCAAAATTAGAAATAGGGGGCTCTTATTAGAATATTATTTTTGTGAAAAAAAAGAAAGAAAGAAAGAAAAACAGAGTTGAAAGATTGTAAATTTTGTGGTTTATGCTGACAGCCTGAAATGTTTATATACGAGATATATTTTTTCCAGAATTTAATTGCCCATAGTTAAAGTTGCATATAACACACGAGTGTGTATTATACACGAATAAATAAGTCTTGTATACACTGATCAATCGGAAGGGGTGCTAATTGGGATTGTTCACTAGCCAATATATTAGCAAATATCGATGTGGGCGCTTATTACATCAAATACGGTATCTGGATTTTCAAACAACTGTTAATATGCACAATAAGGAATCAAACCATCCAAAAACATCAGAAACCAGCAGTGAGAAACAAGACATTGACCATGCAGTTAGTTTAACATGCAATATTATGTGTTATTTCTGTGTGTACTGCTGCCTGTGTTGCAAATGAATTCATATTAGTTCCTCAACATACACCCTGTAACCAACATGTCTCTGAATCAAGTTTTGAATCCTTAAACTGGCTTTTTCTTCAAAGGGATATTTTGTTATCAGCTTGACATTTTATTGGTTTCCAAGGAAATGTTTATCCTTGACTGTTAGCATCTTCTAATCATATTTTTTCTTGTTATCCTATTAAATCAATCTGGGCCAAAATATCTGCCCCCTTTTGTTGTGCTGGGCTCAGTAGGCTGTATGTTGAGTGAGTGGTATTACAAGCTGTAACCAATACTTGAGTAGGACTACAGACGCATGTGAAGGATCTCACCAACCTGAGATGAGTGCTCCCCGTTCTGACCCATGTGATTAGCTTCGTCGTCTTCATCATCTGTAGCAAGATTGTTGGGGTCAAGGTCACACTTATTGAAACTCACGTATCCGAAGATATTTTGACAATTGCAATACCTAACTATATCCAGTGCACAGTCTCAGGAAGAATAGTTTGAGAGCCCCAAGGGGTCAAGTGTGGATATTCAGGGGAGACAACTGACAGATAAAACTGTCAAATAAGGGAGATAACTAATGTATTCCAATGGGATATAACCTGTTTGCATGGTGTATGTTGCTACGTCTGAGTGATTCAAACTGTCTGATGACATTATGTTTGCACTGTACAGTTAAAAAAACATGCAGCAACTAGCAAATGAAATCACAGATCATTTTTATGCAAACATATCCAATCACAAAACTCACTGCACACAACAACAAACAACCTGAAATACACTGACATCAACCTCAATGCTTGCACATGCAAATCCCCTTTTCGTAATCCAAACTTGATCAATGAAATTCCAATGTTATTAACCCCACATGAGTCAACTGTCTCTTCAGTGCGTAATGACAATGATCTAAGTAAGAAACTTCATGTATGAAACATGACATGGGATGTGATTGGTGCGTTCTGAGAGTGTCAATGAAGCTACTTGAAATAAGGTTTGCACCATTTATAGGGTTAAATGTTAAATTAGTCATTATAGTGCTTGCATCTTTTAGTTGATATTGAAAAGTGAAGTGGAGTAGATGACAACCTTGATACAATGCCATGTTGGGGATTCACAATGCTCCAACTACTTTCAAGACATATTCTAAGCCACATCATTGAGTAGAGTAAGTCAGTTCATGTCTTATATCTTCATTAAGAAAGTATAGAACTGATCCCTATGTCAGTTGAAAAATATGTTTTGGTTTCACTGTACTGAACTGTAAGAATGGATAATTACGTTATATACAGGATCCTCACATTGTGTGTCCCACTGGATGCAATCTATTTATTTTTCTGCGTCGACTCTATACATTCGTGGTTGCTGGACCAGACAATCCAGTGATTGACATCATGGAACATTGATCCGGGCAATTGGGATCGATGACATGCATCAACCAAGTCAGCGAGCCTGACCACCGGATCCCGTTAGTCGCCTCTTATGACAAGCAGGGTCACCTTTTACAGCAAGCATGGGTTGCTGAAGACCCATTCCAACCCGGGTCTTCATGGGTCAATCACATTCAGAGGGACATCATCAACACTATTTTTTCCAATCACAAGTGAAACTGACGGGTATATTTGTATTTTCTACATAGGGTGAGTAAGTGAGTGAGTTGGGTTTAACACCGCTTTTAACAGTATTCCAGTTATATCACAGCGTGTCAGCTTAATGTTAGGGGAAAGCCCGAAGTGATGCAGGTCTCAGACGTTGACCACTTCGGTGAAACCCATGAGCACGGGTATGGTGCTGACAAACTTAGAAACATAATCGGGGTGAACCTGGATTCGAACCCACAATCATAGGTTTCTGGCGTGCCCAAGGGACGCAACTCTGCACAGTGAATCGCGCCCCCTCAGACAACTGGGCCACCCGCGCCCTCTTTCTACATACAGTTACCGTACTCTATATTATGTTTATTTCACATGATCAAAATTTAGGGAGCTAAGTGAATCCAGGTGCCACAGAAAGCTGGGCATTGATTGTATCAAGGATTGCCATAACAACCAAGTGAATCTTCAGATTACACAACCCTCCTATCAGGTTAAAAGCTTGGATATACAACCAGTGAAGAATGTATTGATAAGAAAAGGTGTCTCAAGAAGCATCATTTCTAAGTTCAATGGACTCCTGACATCAATAAACCTACTGTTACATTATGATGCTGCTCATTTCCCTTTCATGAACACTTCACAAACAGAGGAATAGTGAAGAATGTTGTTCACAGCATTGCACAGACCTAGCTGGGATAAATTAATAACCCACCATCCACTTTACTTGTATATACTTGAAATAAATAATGATGTCAAAATGCTGAATGAAAAACTTTCCACCGAATGAATGATCAATTATTCAAAGGATCAATAAGAAATTTTGAAAGTTAATAAAGAGAGGGGATATCTAAGCTCATGAATCGATAACTTCATACCAAAATATAGACTGATCCACACATAATGGACTGACTCACCGGCAAATGCTATGTCGACTGTTGACAGTGTAGAACCTGATGTTGCTGTCGTTGTATCTTTGGACATCTCCTGCGCACGAGCGATCACAGCTTGAGCGCGAACAGCATCTGCCTCCAGCGACTTCATCCTGCAACATCGCATACACAACCATGTGGGACCTGCCACACCACAGAGGTCAAGAACTGACACAAGACCCATCAGGTCTGTGGACAGCATTGGTGTTCCTTCTTAAATTTAAAATTCTGCCTTCTGCCTCAGGCTTATATTCATGATTCAACATTCTGTTGCTCGGAAATACCTTACTTCAACACTATAAGGCATCTGAAACACATTACGTATTATCCCAGTGGCATCGGGTAAATCTTTCAACTCAGGATTTAAATAACGGAATTTCTCAACACTTGTAACTGCCATGGTTTACACTTAGGCTGTGATATACAAGACCATTATGTGGGCAGGGGGAAGGGTTATTGTGAAAGCAGTCAGGCTTCATTGTGGATCATATATTGGAATAAATGTCGGTGCAACTCTAGTGTTCATTCCTTCAGAAACAAATTGGGAGAAGACAGGAACGGAAGGACATGTCAAACAAAACCCTGGCAAAAACATCACCAAAACAAACATGAAGAGCAAACGTGATCATGTGACATGCATAAATTTGATCATGTGACAATCATGTGACTGATGAAACTACTGCAATAAACTGATTGTACACATCTCGATCACCTCCTCACAACATCCTGCCACGATACACACAGACATAGACCATACGACAACAGTAACTAACAAACAAATAATACAGAAACAAAATCTTTTCAATTTCACCAATTAACAATACCTAAGTGTTATTTTTGTTTTAAATGGCATTGAACAGGAAACTATTGATTCCTTTTATTTATCTTAATCCGTACTCCACACCTATTTGGTATCACAGTGTAATAGTATTAGCAACTGGTTTTGATCAATTGATTTTTTAGGTATGCATGTTCTAGCTGAATATAATACAGGCCCTATGCCTCACACACCTAGCCTTCCTCCATGCAGCTCTTTTCTCTGCCTGTAGTTCCCGCTCCTCAGCTGGTGATAATTTCTCCCCGTCTTCCTGCGGGCTGCCACCTTCCAACTGGACCCGATCTGAGAGCCGACGTTCGGCTTTTGCTGTTCTTACAACCCCGCCCCCTGGTGGGTAACTGGTAGAAAGGAGGTTCACAGTGTTTTCATTCCAGTTTCAACACATCATCCCAAAGTCATATAATTAGAAAGCCGTGAAAGCACAAAGCCCAACCTTCGCCCAAAGCATAATTTTGGTGTAAAAAGGGTTTTAAAATAAATCTACAATAAATGAGAAAGACACATACATGTACTTAGTTCGGGATGGATATTAATTATTTGAGAAGTCAAAAAGTACCCAATGTTGACATATTGGGCAGCACAAGAGAGACACAGCTATTTTGTCCATAAGAAGGGAAGTTTTTCCCACCAATGATAGTTCGAAAGCATACAAAATATTCAGACGTTTTTAATATTATGATTTAGTATCTAACATAAAAAAAGAGACAGTAGGCATAACTGGAAATGAATACAACTTACGAATAATTAGTTTATTTTTAGTTATATTATTTTACTTAGGTTAGTTTATTTTAAACAAATAAATATCTACAAAAGGCATTTAAATAATAATTGCATGCTAATATATAAAATAGTGGAGTACATGTAACTACTTGTGTCAATGGTAAATGTATCAACACACATGACTCACCATGTTATCATATACACAGACACAAATAAACCATATTATTTAAAGTAACAGTTCTACCAAGTATTATTTAGTTTTTCCCTGACATGAAATATACACATACAAGGGTAGAAAACAAAACAGCTCTATCCCTCATGCTGGTGTGGAGAAACAAGCAGTGAAGGGGAGACAATCAAAGGCTCAGTGGGTGGGTGAGGATGTCAGGGCAGTCAAATCTGTACGAGATAGGGTGGTGGGGAGTGGGTGAGGTGAAATGGAGTTTAACGTCGCGTCCAAGATTATTGCACTTATATAGCGACGTGCATATACGTGTGTGTGTTTGTGTGGCAGCTTGTACTAGTCTGGACTGATGCCGATTTATAGTGCTAGCTCACTGAGATACCATGCCGCAGTTTAACATGAATACCCCACTCAGACGCAGTATACTGACCCCGAGCCGACCAGTCCTTGTTTTAGCCCCTTAATGCCGAGCACCAGACAGGGTAACAACAAGTACCATCTTTTAACGTCTTTTGGTATGACGCGGCTGGGGATCGAACCCCGGACCTTCCGCTCTCCGGGCGGACTCTCTACCACTAGACCACGGAAACGGTCGGTGGTGGTGAGTGAGGTTGTTGGGTGGGATATGGATAGGGATGTGCGATAGTGATGTGGGGTTGAGGTGAGGTGAGGTGAGGTGAGGTGAGGTGAGGTGAGGTGAGGTGAGGTGAAATGGGGTTTAATGTCGCATTCAAGATTATTACAGTTATATAGCGATGTGTGTATGTGCTTGTACTAGGCCGGACTTGTGCCGATTTAATAGTGCTGGCCCATTCAGATACCATGCTGCAATTTAACCTGAATACCCCACTCAGACACAGTATACTGACTCTGAGGTGACCAGTCCTTGTTTTAGCCCCTTAACACAGAGCGCAAGACTGGGTCAACAACAAGTACTACCTTTTAACGTCTTTAGGTAGGATTGAACCCACAACCTTCCGCTCTCCGGGCAGACGCTTTACCACCAGACCACGGAGTAAGTTGATGTGGGGTTGAAATGTGGGGTGAGGTATGAATCAGGATGGGTGACAGTGATGTGTGGTTGTATTATGGGTCTGTGTTGAGAGGTTGTGATGTCGATGAACTGGTGACAGCTTCAAAAGTAAAAGCAATAGATGTAATCACTCTTTAATATTTCAATAGATAATACATAAAGAAATGAACTGTTTGTGTGGGTGTAGGCATGGGTGTGGGCGTTGGTGTTGGTGTGGGTGTGGAGTGTGAGGGTAGGGGGTAAGGGAACATTACTGTGATGATGTGCAAGTTGCCATGTAACCATGGTAACAGGAAATGGGTGTGGGTGGAGTGATCATGCACAGCAACCATCGAGATTCCAAGCAGACTGGCAAAATCTCATTCTACATTCACAGCAAACATCAAAGAAGCAGAAACAGAAATAAAACATTTGACAATCAAAAATGGTCAATTGTGCTCAAACAAAAGAAATGTCAAGTTCAAAGCTACCAGCATGCAAGGAAGTCATCTAGTAATTTGTAAACAGGGAAATCAAACTGGGGCAGATAGTCACACACATGCGCGCGAGAGAACAACCACATGACAAGATGCCATCATTTACCTCCGGGGATCAAGACTGGCAACAAAGAAACATCACACATTTTTATACATAGTATTGTTCTGACAGAAACTGCTGTACTGGCTGCAACAATTCAAAACAAACAACAATGGCTTATTATTAATCACAACTGTTCGATCAAGAATAACAAGAACACAGTCGACCTGGCCTAACTTCAAAAACCCACTGAGTACCTGGAAGCACTGGCTCAATCAGCTGATCAACACGGACACTGCCTATAATGGCCCTCATCAGGAAAACAAACATGGTCCTGGTACCCAAGTTGAAACACACAATGTCCGCATTCCAAATGTCTCATGATATATGGAAACTGTTTAATTGGATAGAAACATAAACTGGAATATATATTGCAGTTAACACTAATGAAGTGTTGTTTGGATATTCAGAAAAACAAAATGACATACTTAATGTTATAATACCAGTAGTCAAATACAATCTTTTCAATATAACCTTTACAAATATTCCAATATTTGAATTGTTACAAAGGGAATTTATTAATGAATATAACAGAGGTAAGTTCAATGCTTTTTCTACTTGTAAAAACACCATGTTCTTGTCTTTATGTCATTTTACATTCCAATAACTATCTTCTTCTTCTGTTATCCATGATACAAAGGTAAATGTTACCACTTCTTCTATTGTGACAAATGAAAGCAACCATTGCATAAATCCATTGAATCATCTCTAGAAGTGCACTTACAAAGTCTACACATTTTGAAACATGGTGCTATTATCTACTGTACAAATTTCGATATGAACTTAGCCTTATTATTAATCCATTGTATCTGTACATGTATACCTGGAAAAGAATACCAATTAAAAAAATTCTCCTCTGATAGTGACACCTATCTATTGCTTTTATTTGATGTGATGATGCATCATTAGGTAGAAATATGATACCAGGGGTATATAATAGGAGGGATTTCACACACACACACACAAAAAAATCCCTTGTTTCAGGTGAATGGCCCATGTGGCATTTGATGCACCGGAAGGGAATAAATCACTGTATCATGAGGACTTCTAATGTCAGTATCTCAACATTTCTACAAACAACTCCTAAAACCAGAAGCAATAGGAAGCACAAAGAACTGATCCATACATTCTTCAACCACTCTATGTATTGCAATATGAATCACAAAGCATGTCCTCTATTGAACATAAACAATCCAAACATTATCCATCACAAAAATAGCTACAGACCTTCAGCCCAAGGTCGACTTAATCCTTCTCGTAAGTTCATACATAAATAATGCCTGTCCAAATCATAAAATACCCTTTCAACAGCATTTTGATGTTCAGTCCTTCCTTCTGATATTGACCTGACCGTCTTCATCTTTCAAAATCCTTATCAAAACCATCTTCCCGAGGCAAGGGCGTTAACTGACTTTAATAGTCAGTTAACTCCCTTGCCTCAGGAAGATGTATCACAACATATGACAATGAGAAACTTCAAAAGTCCACTGTTACCCAGAAATCCACATTGACTCACCTACATAAGTGTACCTTGTATATGCCTGTTTATGTTCTGAAGGTTGTCAATATTTACACGTGGCATGATATAGAAATCAATACTTATTAACCCATATGAGGGAACCCATCAGAAAGCTACTCTGTTACTGAACACATGATATTATGGGAGCAAAGCTGCAGAAACAATCCAGCACCGACAATTAATTTTGTTCTATTACCTAGAAAAGAGCAAATCTCAAATAACTTGCCAATTAAAGATCACAATGATATCCTCCCAAAACAAAATGGTAAGACATCTACCCTTAACAGTTTTACATTAATGAAATACTTTGAAGTTTTGAATAACTCAGTCTGGATAAACTGATGAAAAATCTTGCAACACCTAACTAAACCCAAACAACTTGTCTTTCTTTTGGAAGAGACAGAGACACTCACTTTTCACCCACACTTCAACAACTGACCCAGCAAAGGTTGCTGGACTACTGCCAGTCTGACAGCCACTGATCAGAGAGTTACCTACCTTGCAAGGACTTTGCCATAATCCTGGTCCCCTGAGATCTCCGTAGCGATGCTGCCTGTAACAAACGAGAGGATCTCCTCCTGTGACATATCCGCTGTTTTCTTCTCTGTGTTAGCGAGGAGAGAGAGAGGAAGAAAGGCAAGCAGTTAGTAATCCACACACCACAGGCACTAGCTAGAATGCTACAGAAGCAGTCATTCTGTCTGGTTCACAGGTTGCCCTGATCTCCTAGACACATCTTCAAAACAATCACTACCGGAGGACAAGGCACTGTTATGCAAGGATGTTAGTGCTGGGACTACTTGGTTAAAATAAAGGGCTGGAAAAAAACAGATGCTGCTTTGTGGAACTGACCTGGGTTGGACACTGACATGCAGCTGTAGAACCTAACTTTTTCAGTCACTGGATAACATGTAGCAAAACCCTATAGCAAATTTCTACTTTTCCTTACAATACCTTAACTATTGGGCAGTTTGGCAAGGACAAGAGGGCCCACTTGCACAAAGCGATCTTAGCGCTAAGATGATCGTAACTGCCATTCTTTGACATAGATTTACAATATTTCACTAATAGATTTGCAATATTTCAGTGATAACATGACAGCAGACACCAAAACTTGGCTTCCCACATTGAAACTTAAGTCTGGAACCGAACCTGGGTCTCTGTGTGTCAACCCAACAGATTAAACCACTGAGCATGTTGTAAACTATATGAAACTAGTAAGATACATTACAGTTATTGAATTCAAACCAAGCAGCCACCACTTATATGAACAACAGCTACAGTAGCTTGTCACCGGGGTATGGTTGTCTGACAATCCAGTGATTTTGCTTGGGGCATTATAACTTTTCTATGACTTTATCAAATTGTAATAGGACATTCATCTGTATCATTATTAACACTGCATATTCACTATTCTGGATAAACTGTTTCTAATATCTAGAATTAATCCACAAAGGTCATACTAGAAAGGATTATTCTAGATGTTTGTTTCAATCGCTTAAACAAACACATCATGACAAATTGAGACAGATTTAGGGATATTTTTTATGAGATCTTGCACATAAGTAGCGTCCTTATTTTAAAAGACTGCAGGTAAAGCATAACATTTTCCTGCTTCAATTCTACTACATGTATCTCCACGATGACCCCTGACCTATTGGGGAGTGCACAAGGCAGGTAATTCTACTGTCTCCACGATGACCCCTGACCTATTGGGGAGTGCACAAGGCAGATAATTCTACTATCTCCATGATGACCCCTGACCTATTGGGGAGTGCACAAGGCAGGTAATTCTACTGTCTCCATGATGACCCCTGACCTATTGGGGAGTGCACAAGGCAGATAATTCTACTATCTCCATGATGACCCCTGACCTATTGAGGAGTGCACAAGGCAGATAATTCTACTATCTCCTTGATGACCCCTGACCTATTGGGGAGTGCACAAGGCAGGTAATTCTACTGTCTCCACGATGACCCCTGACCTATTGGGGAGTGCACAAGGCAGGTAATTCTACTATCTCCATGATGACCCCTGACCTATTGGGGAGTGCACAAGGCAGGTAATTCTACTGTCTCCATGATGACCCCTGACCTATTGGGGAGTGCACAAGGCAGATAATTCTACTATCTCCATGATGACCCCTGACCTATTGGGGAGTGCACAAGGCAGGTAATTCTACTATCTCCACGATGACCCCTGACCTACTGGGAGTGCACAAGGCAGGTAATTCTACTATCTCCATGATGACCCCTGACCTACTGGGAGTGCACAAGGCAGGTAATTCTACTATCTCCACGATGACCCCTGACCTATTGGGGAGTGCACAAGGCAGGTAATTTTACCATCTCCACGATGACCCCTGACCTATTGGGGAGTGCACAAGGCAGGTAATTCTACTGTCTCCACGATGACCCCTGACCTACTGGGAGTGCACAAGGCAGGTAATTCTACTATCTCCACAATGACCCCTGACCTACTGGGAGTGCACAAGGCAGGTAATTCTACTATCTCCATGATGACCCCTGACCTACTGGGGAGTGCACAAGGCAGGTAATTCTACTATCTCCACGATGACCCCTGACCTATTGGGGAGTGCACAAGGCAGGTAATTCTACTATCTCCACGATGACCCCTGACCTATTGGGGAGTGCACAAGGCAGGTAATTCTACTATCTCCACGATGACCCCTGACCTATTGGGGAGTGCACAAGGCAGGTAATTCTACTGTCTCCACGATGACCCCTGACCTACTGGGAGTGCACAAGGCAGGTAATTCTACTATCTCCACGATGACCCCTGACCTACTGGGAGTGCACAAGGCAGGTAATTCTACTATCTCCATGATGACCCCTGACCTATTGGGGAGTGGACAAGGCAGGTAATACTACTGTCTCCACGATGACCCCTGACCTATTGGGGAGTGCACAAGGCAGGTAATTCTACTGTCTCCACGATGACCCCTGACCTATTGGGGAGTGCACAAGGCAGGTAATTCTACTATCTCCATGATGACCCCTGACCTATTGGGGAGTGCACAAGGCAGGTTCAGATTGCTTCAGGACAGACCATTTAATTGGATTTTTTGTTCCGAGACAAAATATCTTTCTCTCTGAACAGAGCCGAACAAGATTTTTCACAACACATTTTTTCAGGACTCTCCCATGTCCATCAAACAATTATTGTGTGGTACAACCTGGGTCACAATTATTTCTTTCAAGTATTCCCCTGACAATGAAATGGTCAGTCCCTTCGGGATCCCAGGTGAGCATGCTGCAGGCACCCCCGGTTAGAACAACACAGTGCAGCAACACAAATACACAAACAATGTAATTCCATCTGTGACACATTCTCATTGTTGTAACACAACAACAACTTTTGTCCTTGAATGACTTTAAAGGCTATCTCTTGACACTTGTTTGGCAAAAGGGTCTTGATGATATTAAGGTGGGTTGGAGAAAGGGAGTGTTTGTGTAGGATGAGGGTGTGTGGGGTGAGGGTGTCTGGTGCAGGGGCTGGCTCCTGTTGTGATGATGTGATGGATGCAGGGCATATTGGGTATGGGGGTGTAGTGAATGGGGTGTAATGAATGGGGTGTAGTGAATGGCATGTAGATGTCGTTAACACAGTTCACAATTTCTTGTATGTGAAACTTAGAACTTATTATTCAACCCTTTTAGATCATGAGGCGGTTGATTATAACATACCTAATAGTAATTTTCAATGTTTACTTAACAATGTTCCTGATTGACAAGGTTACATCGTTTATTGAAACCCAACTGATAAAAGAGCAAAGGGACACAACTCTGCAGAGCAAATTGAGTAAACTTGGGCCACACAGAACCCAAGTTTTTTCAAAGTAAAAAAATCTACAGGAACTATTTAGAATCCAGTAACTTAATTGGGAGGATTTACTTCTAAATTTTAGTGTATATACAGGTCAGTTTCTCAAAATTATTCAAATGACTTTGAATAAAATGTCAAATGCAATGGTTATCTCTCCTGATCATATTAGTACTTTTGCTGTTTTCATGTTTTGTGAAGCACAAATAGTTTGTCTTTTGTTACTTTATGAATATACAAAGTTCTCTCACAGAACTATTTTCCATTATGTCAATAAAGACAGAACTAATGTCTACTAGCCAACATCTGAATTATTTCAAACAAATGAATTATTAATGTACTTCTTATGCCCTTGGAAGTTGGATGAGTTTAATTGTGAATCTTATGTAATCAACAGAAAAAACACAGCCAGGAAGAATATTTGATAAGCTTATGTATTAACATGGACCTGTTTTTGGACATGTCTGTTTTTATAGTGGCTGATTCTGCAGGTAATTATTCATTCTATAAACAGAACCTAATGTTTTTAGTTTTCACGCATACTTCACGGCTTGTACACGACCAAATTGTCTTGCTCTTAATTATAACAACTGAATCAAGAGTTGGGCACAAAACTTGGGAGTTGTCAGTAAACATGGCTGCCCTATTTAACACAAATGTAGCTCTTTTTGCACAAAAACTTGCAACACGTAGTAAACTTTCAACCCCATTTGCTGTGACATGTCTAGCTGTGTGATGAAGACTTCAGAATCAAGCTTTGCGGTCCACTGTTCCAGTGTAACTAAGTATCTTATTCTGTAGGTTGGAACTCATATAGCCATTATTATTTTCAAAATATGATTATTTTTCATTCATAAGAATCCTTTTTGCAAATTATTGACTGTTCATATAACTAAATGCCTACCCTTGTTAATCCATACTTTCTCTTTTTGTAAGATAGTGCTGATCATTTTTGTTTTTCGTTATCAATGTATACTGTTGGGGACAAATGACTACCTTGCTCTTGAAATCAAAGTGTACTCTTGTAAACCGATATATTGTTGTGGTTTATTTTGATTCTTTTATATATACACTTGTGGACTATTTAGACAGGCTGATACACTTCTCCAGGGATATACTTGTGGACTATTTAGACTGGTAGATACACTTCTCCACAGATATACTTGTGGATTATTTAGACAGGAAGATACACTTCTCCAGGGATATACTTGTGGATTATTTAGACTGGTAGATACACTTCTCCAGGGATATGTTTGTTGATTATTTAGAAAGGTAGATACACTTCTCCTGGGATATACTTGTGGATTATTTAGAAAGGTAGATACACTTCTCCACGGATATATACTTGTGGATTATTTAGACTGGTAGATACACTTCTCCAGGGATATGTTTGTTGATTATTGAGAAAGGTAGATACACTTCTCCTGGGATATACTTGTGGATTATTTAGAAAGGTAGATACACTTCTCCACGGATATATACTTGTGGATTATTTAGACAGGTAGATACGCTTCTCCAGGGATATACTTGTGGATTATTTAGACAGGCTGATACACTTCTGCAGGGATATAATTGTGGATTATTTAGACAGGTAGATACACTTCTCCAGGGATATGCTTGTGGACTATTTAGACAGGTTGATACACTTCTCCAGGGATATACTTGTGGATTATTTAGACAGGGAGATACACTTCTCCACGGATATATACTTGTGGATTATTTAGACAGGTAGATACGCTTCTCCAGGGATATACTTGTGGA